GGTGGCATTCTGGGTGTTACGGACTGGTGGGGTTTGGGATCCTGGGTGTTAGTGGACCGGTGGGTCACATCCTGGGGGTTATGGACGGTGTGGTGGCATCCTGGGGGGGGTTAGTGGACTGGTGGGGTGGGATCCTGGTGTTAGTGGACTGGGGGGGTGGGACCTGGGTGTTGTGGACGGGGTTGGTCACATCCTGGGTGTTTGTGGACTGGTGTGGGTGGCTCCTGGGGGTTTGTGGACTGGGTGGGTCACATCCTGGGGGGTTGTGGACTGGTGTGGGTCACATCCGGGGGTTAGTACGGGGTGGGTCCATCCTGGGTTTATGGACTGTGTGGGTGGCCCTCCGGTGTTGGACTGGGGTGGGTGGCATCCTGGGGGTTAGGGCTGGTGTGGTGGCATCCTGGTGTTAGTGGACTGGGGTGGGGGGCATCCTTGGGGGTTAGGGACGGGGGTGGGGGGACATCCGGGTGTTAGTGTATGGTTGGATGGCATCCTGGGGGTTGTGGACTGGGGGTGGGTACATCCTGGGTGTTAGTGGACTGGTGTGGGGGGCATCCTGGTGTTAGGGGCTGGTGTGGGGGCTCCGGGTGTTAGTGGATGGTGTGGGTGGCATCCTGGGTGTTAGTGGACTGGGGTGGGGGGCATCCTGGGGGTTAGTGGATGGGGGGGTGGCATCCTGGGGGTTATGGATGGTTGGGTGACTCCGGGGGGTTTGTGTACTGGTGTGGGTGGCATCCTGGGGGGTTGTGGGCGGTGTGGGTCACATCCGGGTTTAGGGGACTGGGGTGGGCACATCCGGGGGTTAGTGGATGGTGGGTGGCATCCCGGGGGTTGTGGACTGGGTTTGGTCACATCCGGGTGTTAGTGGCTGGTGTGGGTCACATCCTGGGTTAGGGCTGGTTGGGTGGCATCCTGGGGGGTAGGGATGGTGGGGGGCATCCTGGGTGTTAGTGATGGTGTGCGTCACATCCTGGGGAAAATGGACGGGTGGGTGGCATGCTGGTGTTGTGGACTGGTGGGGGCACCTGGGTGTTAGGGACTGGGGGGTCACTCCTGGGTGTTGGGACTGGTGTGGGTGGCATCCTGGGTTTTATGGGCTGGTGTGGGGGCAATCCGGGTGTTAGTGGGGCTGGGGTGGGGGGCACCTGGGGGTTAGTGGGGGGTGTGCGTCACATCCTGGGGGTTAGTGGGTGGTTTGGGGGCCATCCTGGGTGTTAGTGGACTGGGTGGGGGCATCCTGGGTGTTAGTGGATGTGTGGGTCACATCCCGGGGGTTGTGGACTGGTGGGGTGGCATCCGGTGTTATGGACGGTGTGGTTCACACCTGGTTGTTAGTGGATGGGTGTGGATGGCATCCGGGTGTTTTGGGGGTGGGTTCCCCACATCCTGGGTTTTTTGGACGGTGTGGATGGCACCCGGGGGGTTAGTGGACTGGTGGCGTCACATCCCCGGGTTTGGACTGGTGTGGGTCGCATCCTGGTGTTGTGGACTGGGTCGGGGGCACCTGGGTGTTAGTGGGTGGTGTGTGTCCATCCTGGGGGTTAGGGACTGGGTGGATGGCATCCGGGTGTTATGGGCTGGTGTGCGTACACCTGGGTGTTAGTGGACTGGTGTGGATGGGATCCTGGGGGTTGTGGATGGTGTGTGTCACTCCTGGGTGTTAGTGGGCTGGTGTGGGTCGCATCCCGGGGGTTTGTGGACTGGGTGTGGTGGCATCCTGGGTGTTAGGGACTGGTGTGATGGCATCCTGGGTTTATGGACTGGTGTGGTCACATCCGGGGGTTAGTGGACGGGTGGGTCACATCCCGGGGGTTTTGCGGGCTGGTGGGGGGCTCCTTTTTAGTGGGTGGTGGGAGGGGGAACCTGGGTGTTTTGTGGATGGTGTGGGTCACATCTGGGGGTTTTGTGGACTGGGGGGCCATCCTGGGGGTTAGTGGGCTGGTTGGGGGGGCATCCTGGGTGTTATTGGGTGGGGTGGGTGGCACCTGGGGGTTAGTGGCTGGGGTTGCCACATCCTGGGGGTTTTTTGGACTGGGGTGGGTGGGACCGGGGGTTAGTGGACTGGTGGGGTGGGACCGGGGTTAGTGGACTGGTGGGGGGCATCCCGGGGTTAGTGGACGGTGTGGGGGCATCCTGGGGTTAGGACTGGTGTGGGGGGCACCTGGGGTTAGTGGACTGGGGTGGGGACTCCCGGGTTTTTTGGGGCTGTGTGGGGGGGACCCGGGTTTAGGACGGTGTGGGTGGCATCCTGGGTGTTAGTGGACTGGGTGGGTGGGGAACCCGGGGGTTAGTGGACTGTTGGGGGGGCATCCGGGTGTTAGTGGATGGTGTGGGTTTGGGAAAACCTGGGTGTTTTGGGGCTGGTGTTGGGCATCCTGGGTGTTAGGGATGTGTGGGTGGCCCTGGGGCAAAAATGACCCAATTTTGCGGAAAAACTCACTAAAGGACTTTCTATTAGTTATGTACTATGTCAGCTGTGATTGTTACCTTGTACAGCAGAAAAAGATTATTTTTTATTATTATTAAATTATTTTTATTTTATTTTAAATAAAACTAAACCACATACTTTGCATTACTTTGTATAACTTTTTGTAAATAAATAAAAAATAATATATGTATAAAATAAAAATAATAAATATATATATATATATAAATATAATAATAATATAAATATATATTAAAATTTTTTCAACAATCGGTCGTCCCCCCCCGGGCAGGGTGACCCAAAAAAAAAAAAAAATCCCCAAAAAGAAAAAACTTCATCATCATTTAAAACTTTTACCACACTCACACATTATCACGTTTTTGCAAGGTGCTAGAATACAAAAGTTTAGGATAACGATAAAGACACAACAAAACCCCCCAAAAGCCCAAAATCCCAAACCCCCCCTTTTAAAATGAGGGACGTACTTCCCATTTCCAGGGTCAATCCGACTATATGAAAATAACCGGGTTTCCCTGAATCCCTTCACTAAATATTACCCTGCTCACACTCCAACAGATCGTCAGGTCCCAAGTACCATTCGTCTCCATTCACTCCTATCAAACACGCTCACGCACGCTTGCTGGAAGTCCAATCCCCTTGCCCACAAAACCTCCTTTACCCCCTCTCTCCAACCCTTTCGAGGACGACCCCTACCTCGCCTTCCTTCCCCTATAGATTTACATGCTTTCCATGTCATTCTACTTTGATCCATTCTCTCTAAATGACCAAACCACCTCAACAACCCCTCTTCTGCCCTCTGACTAATACTTTTATTAACTCCACACCTTCTCCTAATTTCCACACTCCGAATTTTCTGCATAATATATATATATATATAATATATATATATAATATAATATATATATATATATATATATATATATATATATATATATATATATATTTATATATATATATAAATATATATATTTGCTTACGTATGTTAGTTTACATCTCATTTCTTTGTTTGCTTGACTTGTGGTTGTGTAGTTTCTATACCCAGTCCTGAAACTGTGTTGTTGGTCAGTGTATATTGGAGGTTAGCGTGACTTGTGACATTGATGGTACACTGCTGCCAGTGTGTGTTTGTGTGTACTCACCTAGTTGTACTCACCTAGTTGAGGTTGCGGGGGTCGAGTCCGAGCTCCTGGCCCCGCCTCTTCACTGATCGCTACTAGGTCACTCTCCCCGAGCCGTGAGCTTTATCATACCTCTGCTTAAAGCTATGTATGGATCCTGCCTCCACTACATCGCTTCCCAAACTATTCCACTTACTGACTACTCTGTGGCTGAAGAAATACTTCCTAACATCCCTGTGATTCATCTGTGTCTTCAGCTTCCAACTGTGTCCCCTTGTTACTGTGTCCAATCTCTGGAACATCCTGTCTTTGTCCACCTTGTCAATTCCCCTCAGTATTTTGTATGTCGTTACCATGTCCCCCCTATCTCTCCTGTCCTCCAGTGTCGTCAGGTTGATTTCCCTTAACCTCTCCTCGTAGGACATACCTCTTAGCTCTGGGACTAGTCTTGTTGCAAACCTTTGCACTTTCTCTAGTTTCTTTACGTGCTTGCTAGGTGTGGGTTCCAAACTGGTGCCGCATACTCCAATATGGGCCTAACGTATACGGTGTACAGGGTCCTGACGATTCCTTATTAAGATGTCGGAACGCTGTTCTGAGTTTGCTAGGCGCCCATATGCTGCAGCAGTTATTTGGTTGATGTGCGCTTCAGGAGATGTGCCTGGTGTTATACTCACCCCAAGATCTTTTTCCTTGAGTGAGGTTTGTAGTCTCTGACCCCCTAGACTGTACTCTGTCTGCGGCCTTCTTTGCCCTTCCCCAATCTTCATGACTTTGCACTTGGTGGGATTGAACTCCAGGAGCCAATTGCTGGACCAGGTCTGCAGCCTGTCCAGATCCCTTTGTAGTTCTGCCTGGTCTTCGATCGAGTGTATTCTTCTCATCAACTTCACGTCATCTGCAAACAGGGACACCTCAGAGTCTATTCCTTCCGTCATGTCGTTCACAAATATCAGAAACAGCACTGGTCCTAGGACTGACCCCTGCGGGACCCCGCTGGTCACAGGTGCCCACTCTGACACCTCGCCACGTACCATGACTCGCTGCTGTCTTCCTGACAAGTATTCCCTTGTGTGTATGTGTGTGTGCACTCACCTATATGTTGTTGCAGGGGTCGATTCGCAGTTCCTGGTCCTGCCTCTTCACTAGTCGCTACTGGGTCCACTCTTTCCCTGCTCCATGAGCGTTATTGTACCTCTTCTTAAAGCCATGTATGTATGTCTGTGTGTGTGTATGTTTGCTTGTATGCGTGTTGAAGGGTGAGAGAGAGAGAGAGAGAGAGAGAGAGAGAGAGAGAGAGAGAGTGAGGGAGGGAGGGAGGGAGGGAGGGAGGGAAGGAGGGAAGGTAGGATGAACCACAGGGCCACCAGTAACTACCAGAGTGCCAGTGCCTCACTTAGTATCTTGATAACTGTGCCATTGCTTCTTATTTTCAGCTCTTTACAGGATAACTGACATTACGAGGCGTGTGTGCCAGGCGATAACTGGTCAAGTGCCTCCGAGTGCCAACAACACACGTAGCTCCTGAGTTGTAACTCAAGTGGTAGTGATGTGATTAGTGTTAAATTGAGGTGAAGGGATATAAAACCGTGTGGGTGAACGAGTTGTGGAGGCTGGAAATTTCGTTCAACACGGCTCTCTCGTTCAGCACGGATCTTTCGTTGAACACCGATAATTTGTTCAGCACGGATCTCGTTCAGCACGGATCTTTCGTTGAACACGGATAATTTGTTCAGCACGGATCTCGTTCAGCACGGATCTTTCGTTGAACATGGATAATTTGTTCAGCACGGATCTCGTTCAGCACGGATCTTTCGTTGAACACGGATAATTTGTTCAGCACGGATCTCGTTCAGCACGGATCTTTCGTTGAACATGGATAATTTGTTCAGCACGGATCTCGTTCAGCACGGATCTTTCGTTGAACACGGATAATTTGTTCAGCACGGATCTCGTTCAGCACGGATCTTTCGTTGAACATGGATAATTTGTTCAGCACGGATCTCGTTCAGCACGGATCTTCCGTTCAGCACAGAGGGAGACACACAGCACTAGTATGCTCTATTGCTGAACTAAGTGTGTGGTATGTATGATCTCCAGGAGTGCCACAAGGGTAGTGACACTATCAGCAAGTACCACAAGTAAAGTGACACCCTCGTCAGCAGTGTCACAGGTATTGTGGCACCTTCAGGAGTGCCAGAGACTAGTGACACCTTCGGGGGAGGATAATCTGTTACCATGCGTTCTTCGGAAGACAGCGCAGATGATGAGTTTGTTTTCGTGGGCAAGAATACAGGGGCAAGAACGTACCCTCCTCACCCCACACCCACCACCCGTCATACCTGCCCACACACCCGCCTTAACCAGCCCATTCCCACCAGCCTTGAGCTGGTATCGGTGCCCTCAGTGCCACGCACCTGGCCCATCTCCTGCAGTGCCACCAGCACCCGGGCTAAGGTGACCCCACTGCCACCTGAACTGATAGAACTACTGCCACCTCACCTGAGGGAGAACACAGTTCCTGACTACTCTACCTTCAGTACTCCTGCGGAGGTATTGCCCGAGAGACCTCCCCTGCCTGCCTCCTACTGCCCGGGTGACTACTGCAACCTGGATGATCCTTCCACTCCTACCACTCCTCACAACTACGATTACTTGTCGCAGCTCATGACCTCAGATGACCTTAGTGCTCTCACCTCCACCCACAACCAAGTGCATGGTGGCAGGACCACGTGTGTCTCCTCTGCGAGACCATGTGTATCTAATACTTTCGGTAACTACACCACTGCCTCCCATACTGCTGCCGCTACTTTAGCACAGTGACGCTGGTAACACTAGAAGTCTTCCTGGAGAGGCATCAGGGACAGGCCACAATGGGCGGCCGTACAGCCTCCTTCACCCAAGTTCACTCGAACTTCCTGCAGCAGCACCAGCAGTGCTGCTACTCACACAGTCCCAGCCTCACCCCTCCCTCGGGTCTCCTATACTGCCGTCTTGGCTAGTGACGGAGAAAGGGCCTCCATGTTCCGACGTCTGGAGGCACTAACTCCAACACATTCGCCTTTACTCAACAATTTCAGGGCGGCCAACGGTCACAACATGGGAGCATTTCAGTCTGATATCTCGAATATAGAGGAGGGGCCTCATACTCACCATGTTGCCACTACACATACCACCATTACTCCAGTAAACCAAGCCAAACCCAGCCCGGGAACTAAACCTTCGTACACATCCAGACAGAGAGAAGCCCCAGTAGCAAAGAATGAATTGTCAGGAAGTGCAAAGAGAGAGGGGAGTGGTGGTGTAAGGGACTACAAGAGCAGTGTGGGATGCTTTCCTACCACCTACTCTCCTGTCCCTCCCACCACCACAACACTATCTCCCTCGTACACCCACCCACCAATCCTCTCTTACGCTCTCCAACCAGTCCTTTCCTCTGCACCTGTGTCAACATCCTCTCATGTACACACTGGACAAGTATCTGGTCGTCCCACACACACGTGGAGTGCCACACCACCCTCTAGTCCAGAGATGAGGCGAGCATGGAATGTATTGGGCGTACCTGTGAGGAATGGAGGTCCAGCTGGTAGAACTTCACAGCTTGGTCGAAGCCCGTCACCAGCCGGTCACAGCCCGTCACCAGCTCGTCATAGTCCGCCACCAGCTTGTCACAGTCCGTCACCAGCTCGTTACAGTCAATCACCATCTCGTCACAGCCCGTCACCAGCTGGTCACAGCCTGTCACCAGCTGGTCACAGTATGTCACCTAGCCGGGGGAGTCGACCAGGACCCGAGGTTACTGCATCTCATTCGGAGGCTGACACTATTTATGATAACTTGGTCGTGCGTCACCCACCCCTGGCTGCTCCCAGTGGGCGGGCTGCACCCACTGCCAGTGTCACGCCTACCATAACTCCCCACCCACACACTGCCAGTGTGCCACCCACCGTCACCAACCACCCACAAACCACTGCTTCAACTTACCTCAAAGCAAACCACGCTTCACCGCCTCGGGTGGTCGCCTGTTCACCATTACTAGGCAAGCCGCCCTCTCCGCCCATGCAACGAAGGGCCTCCCGCTCTCCCACACCCACAATAGCGTGGAAGCCATCCAACAGCCATCATTGTGTACCATATTACCCCCCTCCGGAACCACAATATGGCGGGTATTGGGTACCTATGTGGGGCTCGTCTCCTCAGCTGTTTCAGTCAGGGGGTGGGCATGTGTACCCAGCTTATGTTTACAGTGGGCCACCCGGAGCGGTGTTGGTTGAGGGTCGAAGTCAGAGTTGTGATCGCCTTCCTGCTCGCCCCTCCTCGCCTTCTTCTCCACGTAATGGTAGACGGTCAGCGTCGCCATGGCGAGGAGGTTCAGCCTCTCCTGTGGGACTCCCGCCCCCCACGCCAGACAGTGGCCGCCCTCCACGCCCTAGACGACCTCCTCACAGGAAATCCAAGACAGTGGAGGTGGGTTGTTTAGGGCTGCTGGCTCACCCACCCTCCAACACAGCCATGCCAGTTGTGGTGGCTGACCACACACCAGTACCTCAACACAGTGTAACCTTCCTCTCCTCGCCTACCTCAAGAATACCTTCCAACCAGCTATACATAAAGACTCTTGACCATCATAACACACCAGCCTATCATGGGCACATTAACCCAAGGCTGCAACGTGTCCCGCACATATCTACAATTCCAGAACAGAATGGCACACCTGGGAACGAAAGCGACGTTAATAAGCCAAGAACAGGACAAGCATCTTCACCAGTCACTCAAGCCTTGATAGATGTTCCCATAAGTACGTCATTGTACAGTTCCTCACCCCTGTCTTCACCCTTACCCGTGTTTGTCAAACAAGAGCACGCAGAGTCCTCAAGACACAAGGTAACGTACAAGTCTTCCTTCTACAAATGCATGAAAAATTTCCTAAAGCCGATTCAGTAGTTTCCGCTGCATCTTGCATGAATGCCATTTTCTATGAGACAAGCCAGCACTTAAGAGAACGTGGCTCCGCCTCCCAGTTCATGGGTAACAATCTTATTTATAACAGCTAATGCATTAAACCTATTATAATGTATGATAAGTAAAGTAATTACGAATGTTCATGTAGTATTTGGCAGGGACTATAAACATATTAGTTATGAAGATAATGCTGGCAACGCATGTACAAGTATATACATGTACTACATTACGTAATGTGTTTACGATAGATCTGCGAGTGACACGTGAGGTGTGGTGTTGACCAGCTGGGGGCTGTCTTGTTGTGAACTCTTGTGATTGCTGTTACCACAGGTGGAGTAACAGCACTAGAGGTGGTCACACTTGCAGAGGTGTGGTGGTCACACTTGTAGAGGTGGTGGTCACATTTGTAGGCCGTCCCCTCCACTCCGGTCCAAAGCTAGGAGTGATCCAGTGTGGCCAGGGGTTACCCAGTGTGGCCAGAGGTGACCCAATGTGGCCAGGGGTGACCAAGTGTGAAGTTCATTTCTTGGTGGAGTTGAAAGTGAAGATGTACCTTCCTTGTAGATGGATTAGACACATGTGCAACATCTGGGTATCTTTATTGTAGACGTTTCGCCATCCAGTGGCTTTATCAATACAAATTCCAGGACATAACTTGAAGACAGTAGAACTATATATAGTCTACCAGATAGAGACTATCGCACTTCTACATCGAGTAGTACACACGGAAATCACTCCCAAGGAAAGCAAAAGACTTAGCAGGAGATGCAACATTCCCCCAGTGAAAAGCAGGGACACCACGAGAACGCTGAGAGACAACACAGTGTCAGGGTCCCAATGTTGTTTAGCTGCCTCCTAGCATAAATAAGGGGGATTACCAATAGACCCCTGGCCGTCTTCAAGACGGAGCTGCACAGACACCTAAAGTCAGTACCTGACTAGCCGGGTTGTCATTCCTACGTACGTTTACGTGCGGCCAGCAGTAACAACCTGGTTGATAAGGCCCTGATCTACCACGAGGCCTGGTCGTGGACCGGGCCGCGGGGGCGTCGACCCCCCAAAACACCAGGTATACTTCAGGTATACTTGCTGTGACGTGTCTGCCTGTCTCCCCCTTTGCCAACACACAGCTTGAATCACCGTCTCCACACCGCGTAGCCGCTGTTAAATACGAATAAACAGGAAAAATGGAGAGGGGATCGAACCGAGGTCGTGTGAGTGGCAGTCCCTACGCTACACCATCCAGCCACGGGGATTTTCAGTAGGAAAGTTGTGGAACTGCCGCTTCTACAGGAGAATAACCTGGTCTACAGTCTTCTACAGGAAGAATAACCTGGTCTACAGTTTTCTACAGGAAGAATAACCTGGTCTACAGTCTTCTACAGGAAGAATAACCTGGTCTACAGTTTTCTACAGGAAGAATAACCTGGTCTACAGCCTTCTACAGGAAGAATAACCTGGTCTACAGTCTTCTACAGGAGAATAACTGGTCTACAGCCTCCTACGAAGAATAACTGGTCTACAGCTTCTAGGAGATGACCACTGGGGCTAGTCTTGCTTGAGAAAACTCTGTTGCATTTCTGATAACCATGGTTGAGTATACAGCATAGAGTATGGTCACACTTGCAAGGTGATGAACTGGTCTACACTTGTAAGGAGTATGGTCTACATTTTTAGGACCGTCCCGTCACACTCGGCAAAAGCTAGAGTGATCAGTGCCAGGGATTAACATGTCACAGTTTGGCCAGAAGGTGACCATGTGGCCAGCGGTTGACAGGATGAAGTTACCTGTTCTTGTGAGTGAAAGTTACAGTAAGAAGATACCTTCTGGTTAGATGTCTTAACACATGTGCAACATCCTGGGTACTTTATTTTAAGACGATATGCGTCATACAGTGGCTTACAAAAAATTCCGGACATAATTGGAAGACAGTAGAATAATGTTAGTCTTCTACAGATAGAAGGACTATCGCACTTCTACATCGGAAGTACACACGGTAAAGCACTTCCCAAGGAAAGCAAATGACTCTTACAGGAGAATGTCACACTTCACCAGGAAGAACAGACACCTGGTTACGCTGTACGAGACAAACCACAGTTTCAGGGATCCAATGTTGTTAGCAGCCTCCTAAGCATAATAACTGGTATTTACCAAAGACCCTGGTCACGTCTTCAAGACAGAACCTGGCACAACAGCCTAACAGTAGAACCTACACCGGGTTGTCACTTCCTACGTAACGATTAACGTGCAGTCCAGCAGTAACATACCTGTCTGATAAGGAGTCCCTGGATCACGAGCCTGTCGTGGACAGGCATGCGTGCGTCTACCCCACAAAAACCGGTTACGTCTTCTACAGGATATAACTGCTACGTCTCACGGTGTCTACCTGTCTCCCCTTTGCCAACACAAGATCTGGATCACGTCTTCCACACGCGAGACCTGGTTAACATACAGAAGAATAACTGGTTACAAGTTAAGGAGATAACCAGGTCTTAGTGCAGTCCTACGCAGACACGATCCAGTCCACGGGATTTTCATAGGAAAGTGTAACTGTCTACGCTTCTACAGGAGAATAACCTGGTCTACAGTTTTCTACAGGAAGAATAACCTGGTCTACAGTCTTCTACAGGAAGAATAACCTGGTCTACAGCCTCCTACAGGAAGAATAACCTGGTCTACAGTCTTCTACAGGAAGAATAACCTGGTCTACAGTTTTCTACAGGAAGAATAACCTGGTCTACAGTCATTCTACAGGAAGAATAACCTGGTCTACAGTTTTCTACAGGAAGAATAACCTGGTCTACAGCCTTCTACAGGAAGAATAACCTGGTCTACAGTCTTCTACAGGAAGAATAACCTGGTCTACAGCCTTCTACAGGAAGAATAACCTGGTCTACAGCCTTCTACAGGAAGAATAACCTGGTCTACAGCCTTCTACAGGAAGAATAACCTGGTCTACAGTCTTCTACAGGAAGAATAACCTGGTCTACAGTTTTCTACAGGAAGAATAACCTGGTCAGCCTTCTGAATAACTGGTCACGTTCTACAGGAAGAATAACCTGGTCTACCGTCTTCTACAGGAAGAATAACCTGGTCTACAGCCTTCTACAGGAAAAATAACCTGGTCTACAGCCTTCTACAGGAAGAATAACCTGGTCTACAGTCTTCTACAGGAGAATAACCTGGTCTACAGTCTTCTACAGGAAGAATAACCTGGTCTACAGCCTTCTACAGGAAGAATAACCTGGTCTACAGCCTTCTACAGGAAGAATAACCTGGTCTACAGTCTTCTACAGGAAGAATAACCTGGTCTACAGTCTTCTACAGGAAGAATAACCTGGTCTACAGTCTTCTACAGGAAGAATAACCTGGTCTACAGTCTTCTACAGGAAGAATAACCTGGTCTACAGCCTTCTACAGGAAGAATAACCTGGTCTACAGCCTTCTACAGGAAGAATAACCTGGTCTACAGCCTTCTACAGGAAGAATAACCTGGTCTACAGTCTTCTACAGGAAGAATAACCTGGTCTGCAGTGTTCTACAGGAAGAATAACCTGGTCTACAGTCTTCTACAGGAAGAATAACCTGGTCTACAGTCTTCTACAGGAAAAATAACCTGGTCTACAGCCTTCTACAGGAAGAATAACCTGGTCTACAGCCTTCTACAGGAAGAATATCCTGGTCTACAGTCTTCTACAGGAAGAATAACCTGGTCTACAGCCTTCTACAGGAATAACCTGGTCTACAGTCTTCTACAGGAAGAATAACCTGGTCTACAGCCTTCTACAGGAAGAATAACCTGGTCTACAGCCTTCTACAGGAAGAATAACCTGGTCTACAGTCCTTCTACAGGAAGAATAACCTGGTCTACAGTCTTCTACAGGAAGAATAACCTGGTCTACAGTTTCTACAGGAAGAATAACCTGGTCTACAGTCTTCTACAGGAAGAATAACCTGGTCTACAGTTTCTACAGGAAGAATAACCTGGTCTACAGTCTTCTACAGGAAGAATAACCTGGTCTACAGTCTTCTACAGGAAGAATAACCTGGTCTACAGTCTTCTACAGGAAGAATAACCTGGTCTACAGTCTTCTACAGGAAGAATAACCTGGTCTAGCAGTTTCTACGGAAGAATAACCTGGTCTACAGTCTTCTACAGGAAGAATAACCTGGTCTACAGCTGTTCTACAGGAAGAATAACCTGGTCTACAGTCTTCTACAGGAAGAATAACCTGGTCTACAGTCTTCTACAGGAAGAATAACCTGGTCTACAGTCTTCTACAGAAAGAATAACCTGGTCTACAGTCTTCTACAGGAAGAATAACCTGGTCTACAGTCTTCTACAGGAAGAATAACCTGGTCTACAGCCTTCTACAGGAAGAATAACCTGGTCTACAGTCTTCTACAGGAAGAATAACCTGGTCTACAGTCTTCTACAGGAAGAATAACGTGGTCTACAGTCTTCTACAGGAAGAATAACCTGGTCTACAGTCTTCTACAGGAAGAATAACCTGATCTACGGTTTCTACAGGAAGAATAACCTGGTCTACAGTCTTCTACAGGAAGAATAACCTGGTCTGCAGTGTTCTACAGGAAGAATAACCTGGTCTACAGTCTTCTACAGGAAGAATAACCTGGTCTACAGCTTCTACAGGAAGAATAACCTGGTCTACAGTCTTCTACAGGAAGAATAACCTGGTCTACAGTCTTCTACAGGAAGAATAACCTGGTCTACAGTCTTCTACAGGAAGAATAACCTGGTCTACAGTCTTCTACAGGAAGAATAACCTGGTCTACAGTGTTCTACAGGAAGAATAACCTGGTCTACAGTCTTCTACAGGAAGAATAACCTGGACTACAGTCTTCTACAGGAAGAATAACCTGGTCTACAGTCTTCTACAGGAAGAATAACCTGGTCTACAGTCTTCTACAGGAAGAATAACCTGGTCTACAGTCTTCTACAGGAAGAATAACCTGGTCTACAGTGTTCTACAGGAAGAATAACCTGGTCTACAGCTTCTACAGGAAGAATAACCTGGTCTACAGGTCTTCTACAGGAAGAATAACCTGGTCTACAGTCTTCTACAGGAAGAATAACCTGGCTCAGTGTTCTACAGGAAGAATAACCTGGTCTACAGCCTTCTACAGGAAGAATAACCTGGTCTACAGTGTTCTACAGGAAGAATAACCTGGTCTACAGTCTTCTACAGGAAGAATAACCTGGTCTACAGTCTTCTACAGGAAGAATAACCTGGTCTACAGTGTTCTACCGACTCTTCACCCTTAGTGGACACCGTTATGGTAATTATCACGAAGTGTTGCATGGAATTAATAGTGCATTGATGGTGTTACTTTTGACTTGTGGTGTTATGGTGTTATGGTGAACATTGAGTGGAACAGTGGTTGTTATAGTTACCCTTGACGTGTGTTATGGTGTTATGGTGAACATTGAGTGGAACAATGGTTGTTATAGTTACCCTTGACGTGTGTTATGGTGTTATTGGTGAACATTGAGTGGAACAGTGGTTGTTATAGTTACCCTTGACGTGTGTTATGGTGTTATAATCACGGTGTGGTGCAGGAAACTAACACAGCGTGGATTATATTGTTACCTTGAAGTGTTACCAGTAGTTCAGACTGAATTTCTAGGAGCAGTGAAGATTGTGTGTGTACTCACCTAGTTGTGGTTGCAGGGGTCGAGTCATAGCTCCTGGTCCCGCCTCTTTACTGGCTGCTACTGGGTCACTCACCCTGCACTATGAGCTTTATCATACCTCTGCTTAAAGCTATGTATGGTTCCTGTGTGTGTACTCACCTAATTGTGGTTGCAGGGGTCGAGACTCAGCTCCTGGCCCCGCCTCTTCACTGATCGCTACTAGGTCCTCTACCTCTCTGCTTCCTGAGCTTTGTCATACCTCTTCTTAAAACTATGTATGGTTCCTGCCTTCACTACTTCAGTTGCTAGGCTATTCCACTTCCTGACAACTCTGTGACTGAAGAAATACTTCCTAACGTCCCTGTGACTCGTCTGAGTCTTCAACTTCCAGTTGTGACCCCTTGTTTCTGTGTCCCATCTCTGGAACATCCTATCTCTGTCCACCTTGTCTGTTCCCCGCAGTATCTTGTATGTCGTGTGTGTGTGTGTGTACTCACCTATTTGTTGTTGCAGGGGTCGAGTCATAGCTCCTGGCCCCGCCTCTTCACTGATTGCTACTAGGTCCTCTCTCTCCCTGCTCCATGAGCTTTATCATACCTCGCCTTAAAACTATGTATAGTTCCCGCCTCCACTACTTCACTTTCTAGGCTATTCCACGGCTTGTGTGTGTGTGTGTGTGTGTGTGTGTGTGTGTGTGTGTGTGTGTGTGTGTGTGTGTGTGTGTGTGTACTCACCTAGTTGTACTCACCTAGTTGAGGTTGCGGGGGTCGAGTCCGAGCTCCTGGCCCCGCCTCTTCACTGATCGCTACTAGGTCAC